ACTGTCCTGGGAGCTCCCAGGAAAGGTGAATGGGATGAGAGGAGGACAATAACCCAGGGAATGGGTGGGGAATGTAGCTGGGACACATTTGGGATGGGACGGGAGTGGGCTGAGGTCTCCAGCTAAGGGGATGCAGCAGGAACCCGATACGCCCCCATGCATCTCTCCACCATCCCTTGGCCAGAGTTTGGCTCTGCCTTTGCCTCCCCCATCTTAATAACTCCCCCATTAGCAGCACCGCAGCACACAGGGATGTACAAAACAGTGAACGCTTTTTATTTCGCTGCTGGAGTGAAACCACCGTTAATTTCATAAAACTCAAAAAAAAAAAAAAGTGATTATTAAAAGGCATACATTTTTTTTTTCCTTTTTACACAAGACATAAGTAAACAGACAAGTTTCTTTTTAAAAAGGTTATAAAGTGTCAAGATCCTATACCTCATCTGCATATTCGAAGTGATGCCATCTGATACAAAAAGCATTGGGTATAATAATTTAGCTATGGCTCAGACCAAAAAAAAAAAACCACCAAACAAAACCAAAACAAATAAAAAAAAAGTCATCTGGGCTTAATCTACATACTACTACGATTGCCCATGGAGTTAAAAAGGAAAATACGCAGTTCTTTGTCGCACAGAAAGAAACAGCAGGGAAGTGGAGAGTTCACTGGGAGATCGTTGTCCAAAGGGAAGCCGAGCACGGCGAAACGGCCCCCCCGTCCCCGGGAATGTCTGGAGAGGCCGCGAGCGGGACTGCAGCCGGCCCGTGACCCCCCGCTGCGCAGAGAAACCAGCCACATTTTTTTCCCACCAGACAGTATCCCGTCCAAATCCACCCGCCGAACCGCACCTACCCAGCTCGCTGGAAGCAAACGAGATGTAAGACCCTGGAAACTGCATGGAAGTCACGAATCTCCCTGTGTGTTTTCCCATTGGGATTAATAAAAACCAAACAAACCCAATTGAAAAAAAAAAAACAAAAAACAAACTAAAAGAAAACGACTCATTCTATTGTAGATAGAGCAAGACTCTTTGCTTCCTCGGGAAATCTGTTACTCATAAACCTCCTCATCCGAAGCTCTCAGCCCAAGCACCAGTGTCAGCCTTATTGCAAGACTCACAATATGAATTTACAAAGTCTTCAAATACGCATCACCAGACCTTTCTTAAATAAAAAGCCGGCCATTAGCGACAGTCGCGTTGCCTTCTCCCCCACCGCTGCCCCCACCCGACTGGCAAGCATGGAGAACAGAAGGGACACAAGAGCCTCTTAACCGAAACCTGGAGAAGGGCACAACTATGAATTCCTGCTCAGATTTGTCCTCCACATGAAGTTCATTCATGACTGATTCCTATGCAAAGCCTACAAGCTCTTGGTTTGATGGTTAGGGCATCTCTGCTTTGCCATCCCTTGGGTCTCCCCTTGGAGCGCTGTCCCTGCAAACCATGGAAAGATGGTGGGTTTCCATGGAGGGAAGTGGGAAGAGGTGAGGAAGTGTAAAACCCAGTTTATGCCTTTGCTTCTGCAGAAAAGGGCAGGATAAGGTGGTTGGCTTGTAGCCACATCCATGGGGGTGTCTGTTCCCTATGACATCTGCCAAGACCCAATGGAGCAATAACAGAATAGGCAAGTAAGATTTTTAAGGCTCTCCTTTCAACATCTTGGCACCTGAGGTGAAACGAGGATTAGCGTACAAGGAGAGACTCCAAAACCAGCCCAAACCGTGAGCCCTTGGCTGCTCAGGACTTGCTTTGGTGCCACATGTCTACCAAGATCCATCCTTCCCTCTTCTCCAACTGTCCCGAGATTTTTGTGAAGGAATGGGGCTCTTCTTTGAGATTTCTAACCCAAAACCTAGTTGGAAGACCCCTCCGTTTCCCCAGCTTGTTATGTTTCTGCAACTGTCTCTAGGCTGCAACATCAGGGAGTTGGTACCTCAGAGGTAGGAGCCCAAGTCCCAGTCAAAAAAATCTCAAATATTTGGCAGTCCAACTCAGAAACCTTGGAGCGGGCTCAAGCCCTCCATGCAAGGGTGGCAGCTCCTGGGCTGCCGAGCTGTCCTGCCCATGGAGCAGCACATGAGAGGTGACAGCAAGTTCCAGGACAGGGGAAAGACATCCATTAAAAAAAGAAAAAAGAAAAAATTAAGACAATTTAACCAGCATGTTGGTTTATTTTCTTTTTTTTTTTTTTTTCAGTAACCCACAAACTGAAGGATATCAAGATGCTGCTCTGCCAGCCAGAGGTGCTCAGGATTTGGCCACATGGATTGTGCCAGGTCAAGGACTGCTCTCACACTAGAAGCTCCCTATTTTTAAGGTGGTTGGGTTGATGCTACATAAAGTGAAGGAGCACTGCAAAGCCTATCCTCCTTATATTCCCCAAAAACAAGCCCACCAAGCTGAGATTTGAATGTACTCTTTGAAGGTCCCTTCCAGCCCTAACCATTCTATGATTCTACTCTCATCAGAGCTCAGCACTGAGCACTTCCACCACCACCACCAAACCCTGTATGGAGGAGGTCAAAAGTTCCTGTGGCCAAAGGAGGCTGAATTCAAGCCCCTCTGTCCCCACACCAACTCCAACTCCAAAGCATTGTGGCTGAAGCCCTGGACCGCTTGCCTTGGGCAACCCGCCATGTGATGCTCCCATGAGCACGGATGAGAAAACATTCCTCCTCCTCTTGCCAGGGCAGAAACATCTCCAAGTCTGCAAAGCAACAATTCCCACCACTTTATCCTAAACCCTTCACAAGTCATGGCACAGCCTGTTGTGACCAGGGAGCACATGGGACCATGAGGTCTCCTGGCTAAAAGGGACTGGGGCTGTCTGCATCGCAATGCTGAGCCGTCTCCTACTGCCCCTGGGGATTTAGCAGCACCTATTTTAGCAGCGGGAGGACACGCCTGGGTAGGAAGGGGATGGTGACCCACCTAGTGGGACTGCTGTAATACAGGATCAGGGCTTTTTATCAGCCCTATTTCTTGCCCTTCCCAACCAATGCAGACCCTTCCACCACTGCCGCCTTCCCCACGAGACATAGGAATCAACAGCCTGGAATAGGGCTGGAGAAACTCAAGGGACTGAAGGCTGTCCCACAATGTGGAAGCTTTGGACAGGCTCAAGATATGTGGTGTAACTCCGGGGCCACAGGTGGAGAGTGCCCACCTCACTTGGCACCACAGCCTGTCCCACGGGATGGTCATCCCTGCCACGCAGCAGGGCTGACTCCCACCAGGAGTGAAGTGGTGGCACTGGAAATGGCTCCAAACTCCTCCTCTGTCCATGTGTGGTGGCACGAAGCCATCCCCTACCCTTCTGCATGTACCAAAGGTGTCTAACCAGCCTTCCTCACCGCTTATCCCAAGAGATGAACCCTCTGATGCAAATGTCTCTGGACAGTCTCTGTTTCACAAGGCACACAAACCTATGGAGATACCCAACATAGGGCACTGAAGGCATCTGAAGTTGGGCAGCCTAAAACCACAAGACACTGGATGACTAACCCTCCTTGATCCAACAACTGCAATCCTCTGCAGCAAGCCCAAAGGATACCCGGAGCATCCCTCGGGCCACACGTATCCCTGGTGACAGTGGATGGCAGCCAGCTGTGACCCAGTGCTGGGGATCAGTCTGGGGAGCCATGGATCACCTGCTGGGCTCCACTGGGCAGCGATGGGAGAAAGAAAGGCCAGAGGACGTGCGGAAGACAAACAGTTTGGTTTTTTTTTAAGTTTTTTTTTTTCCTTTAATTAGCAAATTTCTTCTTATCCTCATCAAAAGAAAAAACATCCCCATGCCCCCTACATGCCCACCACTCCAGCTGCTGCAAGCGTTCAAAGGCAGAAAGTTGAGAGATGTTTAATGTCCCAGCTCAAGGGCAGCTTTGATTCCACCCCACCAGGGCACGTGCTGGGGGAGTTTTGGGGTGCCAGGCGCCGGTTTACAGATGTGGGAAAGGCAGGTGCAAAATTTGGTGATGTGCTCTTCCCAGGAGCACCCAAAATCCCCCAGGAAAGATGCAGCCCAGCCCCTTGGCCAGCAAACACAGCGGTGGAGGACATGGACATGCCCCGAGATGCACACTGCATCCCCAGGGCATCAGAACTGGGGTTTGTGCCATGGCTCAGTGATGGGGACACGACAGGAGAGAACACACCACCCTGTGCATTGAATTTAGAAGCTATAAATAAGGGCACCCCACACTTTGGGGGGACCCAGTGTTGCCCTGCACCCTGGCAAAGCTGGGTGCCTCAAAGCCCCACCATGGTCCCAGAGTTTCCCAGCGCGTCCGCCTTCATTGCGGCAAGTCCCCAACGAGCCCGAGCTGCAGCATCCTGGCCGGCATCAAGGCAACTGGGAGATGGGGAAGTGGCAGAGGAGCCAGGAGAAAGGGAACGGTGCTGGGGGGACTTAGCTCAGCCCTTCCCGTGGCCACAAGGCCAGCACTGAGCTACGAGCCCCCTTCACCTCTCCCTCCTCTCACCATCTTCCCCTCCAAGGCCATCATGTCATCCCCACCTCCGCCCCCTACTGCTGCAGCCCTTATTATTAGGGAAGAGGTGGGAAAGGGTTTCTCTGGGGGTACTCCAGCTCTCCTGCTCTCCATCCCTTCTCAGCTGGCACAGCCCTGCCTGCATCAACCCAACCCAACCCAACCACCCTTTGCCCATCCCTCTCAGTGCAATGGGAGGAGAAAGGGGGGAGGAGGAAGGTGAGGAAGAACCGTCACGTGAGCTCATTGTCTGCTAAGGCCAAGAGGCAAAGGGCAGCGCTGCCTTCCCTTCTCGGGGCTGGGGCTGGAGAGAGCAGCCTTTTTTGGGGGTCCGGCAAGATGACCGTGCCGCGGGTGCTGGAACACGTTGGTGATGCTCCACCTCCCCCGACCCCAGTGGGGCAGGACGTGGGGCACGCAGGGCTGGGCGAGGAGGTGCAGGGGTGGGATGCGTGCAAGTGCCCGGGTGTCTGTGTGCACGGATTTTGGCAAGAGGTCATTGAGGTTACATGATGCAGCATTTGTTCTTGTGGTTATGAGGGTCCTTAAATCGGAGTCTCTGCTTTGGTCGGTATTTTTCCAAGTACGTCAGCTGCTTGCTGTTGATGGCTCCTCGGCGCTTCCTGCAGGGACAGAGAAGGGCCAGCACAGTCAGCGGCGTGGCAGAAGACCCCTCCACCTCAAACTCACCCCTGTCGGGGTGCTGAACACCCCTCTGCCTGGAGCAGGAAGGGATTTTGGAGGCTGCAGCCAAGTGCGTCCTCCAGCACTGGAGACGGGTGCCCACCCCAGCAGCCCAGCGAGTCTCAGGACACGGAGAGCCGTGGAAGAAACGCGTGGGGACACATCAGATCTCTCCGTTCCCTCGGGAAGGGGGTTCCTTCCTCCCCTGACGCCGAAACGCCGCTTGACTTACTGTCGGATGAACTGGATGGCGTCTTCGTACTTCATCCCGCTCTCAATCAAGGCCAGCGCGACGAGGACCGGAGCGCTGAAAGGCAACAGCGGCAACAGTCACTCCCTGGCCACGTGGCCCAGGGGCTGACATCCTGTTTCGGGACGCGGGGACACGCTGCAGGGCTGGAACGGTGGCATCGCAGGCAACTGCCAGCCCTGGCTTTTAGCTCGTAATTCCTTGACATTTGGTTGCAAGTGCTGCCCCAAGGAGCAGCTGATTTTGGGAGTAAAACCCCCAGGATGGGGCTGGCAGCTGTTTGCTGATCTTCTAATAAGCACGAGGACTTGGGAGGCAAATCTATGGGATCAGCGGATGTAAATACACATGCAAAACCTGACCCGCAGCCGGGGGAGCAGTAAAATGCAGCAGCTCTCAAAAAGCATCAGCTCCTGGTTGTAGCAGGAGGCATTTAGCACAATTTGCACAACGAGCTCTTAGCAAAAGCAAAATCACCGTGGGGCACTGGCAGGACAGCACTGAGCAACCTGGGTCCCTGCTCCGGTGCCCAGGATTTGGCTGCTAGAAATGCAAGGGGGAGCTCAGGCAGCAGCTCCCCATTAACACCTCGTCCTGCTAAGGTCATAGAATCATAGAATGGTTTGGTTGGAAGGGACCTCAAAGATCATCTAGTTCTAACTCCCATTCCACGGGCAGCGACACCTTCCACTAGATCAGGTTGCTCAAAGCCTCATCCAACCTGGCCTTGAACACTTCCAGGGATGAAGCAGCCACAACTCTGGGCAACCTGTTCCAGTGTTTCACCACCCTCGCTGTAAAATATGTCTTCCTTAGATCTAACCTAAATCTCCCCTCTTTCAGTTTAAAGCCATTGTCCCTTGCCCTATCACTATATGCCCTTGCAAAAAGTCCCTCTCCAGCTTTCTTGTAGGACCCCTTTAGGTACTGGAAGGCTGCTAGAAGGTCCTTCCAGACCCAGGTCTCCACTGCATGAAAAAACCCTGCTCAAAGACGTACTGGGGAAGGGAAGGAGGAGAGCAGCCACAGTTTTCCCTCTTTCCCCTTCAAGGATGGGTGGCAGCCGGGGTGCTGGGCTCTGACTTACCGCCCCAGGCCGGCCACGCAGTGCACGGCCACACAGCAGCCAGGGTCTTCGCAGAACTTGGTCTTCAGCAAGTTGAGCCAATCTTCCACTATTTTGCTGGGAGGAGGTGCTCCATCGTCGAACGGCCAATCCTGCAGGGCAGGGGGGGCAAGGTCAGGGGAAGAGAGAAACGCTGTCAGACCCTGGGGTTAAACTCATGGGATTGCTTTCTGCTCAGGACGATGGTGTTTGGGACCTCGGCAGCAAGGAGGCGGATATGTGTGCAGGAACCGGGCTTGCAGACTTCCACTATTTTGCTGGGAGGAGGTGCTCCATCGTCGAACGGCCAATCCTGCAGGGCAGGGGGGGCAAGGTCAGGGGAAGAGAGAAACGCTGTCAGACCCTGGGGTTAAACTCATGGGATTGCTTTCTGCTCAGGACGATGGTGTTTGGGACCTCGGCAGCAAGGAGGCGGATATGTGTGCAGGAACCGGGCTTGCAGAGCAGCTCTGCGCAGATGTAGCCGGTTTTGCAGCACCATCTGGCATGCAGGAATCCCCTAGCTGCTTCAGCTCAGGATTTGCAGCCATATGAGTCTAGGTCTGGGGTCCTCCCATCTCCTACAGACAGGTTCAGCCTTCAGGAGCACCTACAAGATCTGCAACATGGTCCCCATGTCCTCCTGCCTCCACAGACCAGGGTGGTCATCACCTGCCTCCTCCTCATTCAGATACCACACTGAGCCTCAGGGTGATGCAACTCCCATCCTCCTCCCCTGCCCAGCTCCTGTCTAAATCCAGCACTCGGGAGTGCAAAGACATTTTGTAGGAAGTTTGAGCAAAGGTGGCTCGGATATGGCTGAAATCTCAGCAGTGCTGAAGTTCAGCCTGCTGCAACATGTGGAGGGGAAGGTGAACACTCAAGTCCCAAAAGGATGCTCTGAGGACCCCCAAACACAGCCCTATAGAGAGTCAAAGGGAGGGAGATCTCTCCAAATGGGGCCATTAAAACAGCATCCTTCAGGAAAGGCTCCCAAGGAATAAAAAAAAAAAAAAGCAAAAAAAAGCCCATCTTCTTCCAAGCTTCATCCTCAAGATGCAGGGACTCAACATTGGAGTTTGGTGATGAAGTGGGTACAACAGCTGCTGCATTAAGCAGCTCCTGGTCTTGGGCTCTGCTATGGGGGAAAAGTGTGTCCCCCCTCTTGCTTGTGACGGCTGCAGCATTTGGGGGAAAGAATGATCTCTCCCCATGGGCACTGGCAGCCAGTTGAGGCTGAATGTCTCTCCCAAAATGGGGATTTCTCTCCTATAATGGATTTGGCAGGAGGAGTGTGGCCACTGGTTACACAGCAGCAGGAGAGAAGGATGGGCAGGAGAGCATCGCTCAGAGGGGACGTGCCACGGTGAGCGCCAGTGGGTGGGCACAGGCTGTAATCCTCATGTCTGAGGAGTGAGTCACTAAGCTGCTGTGCTGGAGTCATTCTTGGCGAAAGATGGCAAAAGAAGCTGCTGAGCTTCATTTCAGTGTTGGAACAGTCATTGTGATTTCAGTTGGGCTTTGCTAGCAAAGGAGCACCCTGGGCATCAGGGTACCCTAATGCTTGAGCCAGCCCGCCTGCACAGTCTGTTCCCTGTCCTGCAAGGACACGTCCTCCTCACGCTGCCCAGAAAGCACCACTGCATCCATGACTGCAGATCACGGGGCTACCACTGGGATGACACAACATACCACAAAATCATTGAATCATAGAATGGTTTGAGGAGGAAGGGCCATTCAGAGATCATCTAAGTCCAACCCCCCTGCCATGGGCAGGGACATCTTTCATTAGGTCAGGTTGCTCAGAGCCCTGTCCAACCTGCCCTGGAACACTTCCAATGATGGGGCATCCACGACTTCTCTGGGTAACCTGTTCCAGTATCTCACCACCCTCATTGTAAAGAAAGTTCTTCCTTGTATCTAATCTGAATCTATCTCCTTTCAGTTTAAAACTGTTGCCCCTTGTCCTGTCACTACAGGCCTTGGTAAAAACTCTTTCTCCATCTTTTTTATAAGCCACCTTTCGATATTGAAAGGCTGCAATTAGGTCTCCCCAGAGCCTTCTCTTCTCCAGGCTGAACAACCCCAACTCTCTCAGCCTTTCTCCACAGCAGAGGTGTTCCAGCTGTGCAACTGTTTTTGTGGCCCTCCCCTGGACTCACTCCAGCAGCTCCATGTCCTTCTTATGTTGGAGGCCCCAGAGCTGAACGCTGTATTCCAGGTGGGGTCTCACAAGAGCAGAGCAGAGGGGCAGAATCCCCTCCCTTGACCTGCTGGCCACGCTGCCTTGGATGCAGACCAGGACACGGTTGGCTTTCTGGGCTGCCAGCGCACATTGCAGCTCGTGTTGAGCTTCTCATCAACCAACACTCCCAAGTCCTTCTTCTCAGGGCTGCTCTCAATCCATTCTCCGCCCAGCCTGTACTTGTGCTTGGAATTGCCCTGACCCATGTGCAGGACCTTGCCCTTGGCGTTGTTGAACTTCATTAGGTTCTCACAGGCCCACCTCTCCAGCCTGTCAAGATCCCTCTGGATGGCATCCCTTCCCTCCAGTGTGTCTACAACACCACACAACTTGGTGTCATCAGCAAACTTGCTGAGGGTGCACTCGATCCCACTGCCTACGTCACTGATGAAGGTATTAAACACTATTGGTATATCCAATACAGTATATCCATCCTTCACCATAAATGTTCCTACAGTGAAACCCACACAGCATCGGTTCTCCGGCAGGATTTCTGGCCCATCTCCGACCTGCTGGAAGAGCTGCCAAGCAGATGTCCACGGTACAGGACATCTCTGTATGGCATGACTTGGTAACTGCCATCAGCTTTAGAGACTGCTCCGGATCCCCTGCGGCACACAGAGGAGCCAACAGCTGAAGACGTGTCCAAAACACCCAGGCAGCGTCTCCAGGATAGGACCATCATACATGTGGGCACTGCAGATGCTGGCATTCAGGCACACCACACCAGAGTCACGCCTTGACTAGCTTGTGCCTATTCCCCAAAGAAAGGGATAGGACATACAGATGTAGTTTATATATATATATATATATTTGATATAGATATATATAGAGATATGTCTGTATCTGCATATATATCTATCCATAGATACACAGGATACAGATATCTCTCTATATGATATACCTTATAGAGTTTCTATATAGTTTTAGAAACATAGATATAAGCAATATAGTTTCTATTCAGTGTCTTCCACAGTTTCTATATCTGGGTAATTGAGGCACTCAATGCCTCCTTTGCTTCAGTCTTCAATGGCCAGACTAACTCACTGGGCGATATGCATCTAGAACCAACTGGTGGAGATGGAGAGCTTTGTCAAGGTTTCTTTCAAGAGGAAATGGTAAGCGAACTGCTGCACAGCTTAAATGTGCAGGAGTCCATGGGGCCAGATGAGATCCACCCAAGAGTTCTGAGGGAGCTGGCGGAAGGGGGGGGCGGGGGGGGGCCCCCACAAAGCCACTTTCCATCATTTACCAACAATCCTGGCTAACAGGGGAGGTACCAGCTGACTGGAGGTTGGCAAACATGACGCTGCTCTACAAGAAAGGCAAGAGGGAAGACCCAGGGAACTACAGGCCTGTCAGTCTGACCTCAGTGCCGGGTAAACTCATGGAACAGATCATCCTTGGTGTTATCATGCATCATGTACAAGACAGTCAGATGATGAGGCTCAGTCAACATGGATTTATGAAGGGCAGGTCTTGTTTGACCAACCTGATCTCCTTCTATGATAAAATGACCCATTTAGTGGATGAGGGAAGAACTGTGGATGTTGTTTACCTCCATTTTAGCAAAGCCTTTGACACCATTTCCCATAACATTCTTCTGCAGAAGCTGGCTGCCTATGGCTTGGACGGGTGTACGCTTCGCTGGATCAAAAACTGGCTGGATGGCCGGGCCCAGAGAGTGGTGGTGAATGGAGTTAAATCCAGCTGGCGGCCAGTCACCAGTGGTGTTCCGCAGGGCTCAGTGTTGGGGCCTGTTCTCTTTAGCATCTTCATCAATGATCTGGGTGAGGGGATCGAGTGCA